CAGGGGAATGCTCCAGATACAATTTGCCACAAGTTTAGGAAATCAACTACCAAAGCCTTTCATGCTATTCTTGTGGACAAGATGGAGAGATGTCAGCTAGGATGTGAAGTTAGGAGGACTTGGAACTGATTGAGTGCTGGGACACAAAGAATAGTCACTGATTGTTTGTTGGCACATTTGGAAGGAACATTTTACTGGAGTGCCATAGAGAGCTTTATGCTGCTTAACATTTTCAGCAATGACTTTGATAAAGGTATAGAGGACCTGCTCATCAAATTTGCAAATGATACCAAGTTAAAGGTTGAGCTAACATATTTGACAATAGAGTTAGGAGACAAAAAAGATCTTGATAGGTTAGATTTTGGGATTTAGTCTGCAGCTTAATAGATTCAACTCGAAAACTTAACATTTGGGTTCAAAAATTAATTCTGTAAATACAAAATGGGAAAGCATGGCTAGAAAGAAGAGAATCTGAAAGAAATGTGTGTGTATGGGAGAGAGAGAGTGAGAGAAAGAAGGAGAGAGAGAGGAGAGAGGGGAGAGAGAGAGAGAATTCATAGTCTATCCTACATTAATAATTCTAATAAACTCTAGGGAAGCAGATTTTGGCTCTTTATAGAGAAGACTTTCCAAACGATTACAACTGTCAAGCAGTAGAATTGGATGAGTCATGAAGTGGTGAGTTTCTTGACAATGGAAGTCTTCAAGCAGAATTTGGATGACTGCTTCTTGTTGTCAACACTTTCTTTGTCCTTGTACTAAGAGAAAAGAGAGGCTGTCTGGTATAGTTTAAAGCACATTGGTATTGGAGTTAGAGGACGGGAAACCCCACCACAGCTCTGCTATTTACAAGTTGAGTGCCTTGGGTCAAATTTCTTCTCAGCGAGTTTTAGTTCTTTCAGCTGTAAAATGGGATTAGCATCACTGCATTTCCTACTTATGTTACAGGGGTGTGGTAGGGAGAAAGGATTGTAAATCTTGGAGTGCTTTGGGATGTGAGCTCTTTTTAGCATCCTTGGGTCCTTGAGGGCCCTAGACCAGTTTCTGAGGGGTGTCAGGACCTTGGTTGTACAGAACTTCCCAAGGTCAAAGAGCCATGTGTGACCTGGGAATACCATCAAACTGTGTTTCAATGAGAGCCAGCAGGACTAAGGCCTGTGTCTGGATTTTGTTACTTGGCTGAGAACCTGAAATTATAGTGAGTGGTTCGAGGGCATTGTTTGGCAGTCCTTGCCATCTCCTGTCAGTTGATTTGTATAAACTTATGAGTTCTTTATCAGCATAAATAATTTGCACTATGCTTACTTTATGCATATGCATGCCCTTTAAGACCTTGGAAATCTGAAAAATTATGTTTGACAAGTATCAGATTACATCATTTTGGAGCTGGAATAAACCTTAGAGTAGGAGTTCTTCACCTTTTGGGTTGTGGTACTATTGAGGTTTAGGGTTGCTCCAAAATAACGATGTAGGTCCTGCCTCAAAAGAATTTGACTCAAGCCTTCTTTTAGCCAAAAACCAAGGTTTATTGGAACATGGTTCAAGGTGGGTGTGATTCTAAAAATCCGCATTATCGGTCAGACTCTTAAGGAATCTGAGCAATTTAATGGGGGGGCAAGATGGACCTTACATACAGAAAGACTGTGGGAAGGATGTAGGAATGGACAAGTAGTCTTGGGTGACTGGGAGGTAATAGTGAAGGACCTGGAGGGGCTGGGGTGCCCCAGGTGAACGCAGAAGGGGTCTAGATGGAAGGAACCGTAGGAAGTGGGGTGCCCCCCCCACCTCGCCACGATACAGAGCTAACAGGCAATGACAATAGGCAACAATGAAAGGCCAGTTCAGAGGATTACTGGGATGGGTAGATGCCTCAGGCAAACGCCAGAGACTTGACCATGTGGGAAAAGTCCAGGGCTTTTCCTTTTTGGAGTCCAGATCCCAAAGACATAGTCTTTTCCTTTTAGGGGTTCAGATCCCATCCCCATCAGTAGCCGGTAGCAGTCTGGTGAAGCCTATGGACCTCTTTATAGAAGACTGCTTTTAGATACATAGAATAAAAGACATAGAATTACAAAGGAAAACAGTTATACTGAAATGCAGTTATCAGAATATTTTTAAAACAACCCTAAATTCACAGACCCCAGAGTAAGAACTCTTGCTTTAGAATGCAGAATTAAAGAGCTAGAGCTTTAGAACATGGAATTTTAGAGATCAAAGAGACTGTAGAACTTAGAACTGATGGAGACCTTAGGGGAAAAGGGACAACTATCTATAAAATGCCAGACGTTGTGCTAAGCACCGTAAAAATGTTATTTGATTTGATCTCCGTAACAGCCCTGTGAGATTGGTGCTATTATTATCTCTATTTCTTTTTTGGGCTTTACGTATCTGTGATGGGATTTGAACTCAGGTTTTCCTAACTCCAGGCCCAGTGTTCTATCCTATGCACTGCCTGGCTCTCTAAGAACATGAGGAGGTTAGAGCTGGAAGAATTTACAATAATTACTCATAGTCTTATAAGATTTTATGCCACTAGTTCTCAAAGGGTGAGCCGAGGTACACAGAACATTTCTTTGAGATATGCTGCACAATCCCTAGCCTTTGTCCCCAGCTGTAGACTGCTGCCTGTTCTTCTTGGCTTGGCAGTGGGAAGGGCCCAGAAAACCATTCTATCTACGCTAGGAGTTCTGGAGAAGTCAAAAATTGAGAGGTGAGGCTACGAGAAGAGAAAAGAGAGGCAGATGCCTCTCAAGGTCTGGAGAATGGCTCTGGAGGCCTGACTGCCCTGGAACCCTTCTTTGGGGACTCTTTGAATTTTTAGTGTATTTGTGATCCTCATGACAAAGAATACAAAAGCTGTGAGCAGAAAAAGCTTAAGAATGACTTTATGGTCTTCAAAACACTTCCTTCATAGCAACCCTCTGCAGTGCAAATATGATCTTCACTTTACAAAGGAGGCACAGAGAGGGGAACATCTTGTCCAAGATCCCCCTGCAAGGACATGTCTGAACCCAGGTCTCCCAGCTCCAGGCCTCCTCTCCATCTTCCCCGCCTGATTCTATCAGTTTGCATTTTGGGGGCACTGAGGCCAGAGTTTGCTGTGAGAGAGTAAATTCAGGGAAATTTTCCAGTTTGTTCAGTGTGGTACCCTCTTTAGCATACAACAAAAATCTGAACAGATGGAATCATATGAGATGTAACAGAAAGAATACGAGATTGATCCTGCCACAAATTATCTGGGTTATATTGGACAAGTCAGTTACTTCTCTGGCCTTCAATCTATCTATCTATCTATCTATCTATCTATCTATCTATCTATCTATCTATCTATCTGTCTGTCTATCCATCTATCTATCCATCTATCTAGCTATCTATTAGATGTATACATTATATAACATACATGAATAGAATATATGATATAGGAATAGAATATATGTGTATATTAAATAGCATAGGAATATAATATATAATATATGAATAGAATATTACATATATACATATGATAAAGGAATAGAATATATGTATATATTACATAACATATAGGAATATAATATTTGAATAGAATACTATATATATGATATAGGAATAGACTATATATTATATAACCTATAGGAATAGAATATATAATATATAGAGAACACATAATATATGAATAGAACATATAGAATATATTATATAGAATATATTCTGCATGTAACACATAGAATATATAAATATATAGAATATGTAACATACAAATAGAAGGTATGTATTAAGTAACATGAGGGAATCGGGCTAGATGATTGCTAAGATTCCTTTCATACATGATATTATATTATGAGTCTGGTTGGAAGGAATGTAGTCACAGTGTCACAGAGCTGGAAGGGACTCTTAGGTCATCAGACTTTAGTCTAGCCTCTCCTTTTATAGGTGAAGAAACTATGGCTCAGATGGAGAAAGTGATTTGCTCAATTACTTGGCGAGCTAGTTGAAGGGTCAGGAATAGAACCTGGGTCTCCTAGTTGTTCAGACTCTTCATGACCCCATTTGGGGTTTTCTTGACAAAGATAGTAGAGCAGTTTGCAATTTCCTTCTCCAGCTTATTCCACAGATGAGGAAACTGAGGCAAACAGGGTTAAGTGACTTGTCCACAGTCACACTGCTAGTAAGTAAGTGTCTGAGGCCAGATTTGACCTCAGGAAGATGAGTCTTCCTGACTCCAGGCCCAGTACTCTATTTACTGTAAAACCTAGCTGCCCAAGTTCAGAGGAAGGAGTAAATTTTAGCAGATTTCAAACACTGAGTTCCAGGACTTCTGGGTAGTCAGTCCAGCTTCCTCTTAGTGCCTGGTGCTGAGTGTGGTATTTCACCTTTGGGAAAGGACTTCCTGTCAGTTGGATTGTTCTTCATTTCACTGCCTCACTTTTTTTTGCATTCCCGTCTGACCACCCTGATTTCTCTCTCTCTTGAGACAACTTGGAAGTTGCCCTGATTTATTATGCATGTGGTCCTTTGTGGAAGTTTATAAGAAACAGGCCGGAGAAAAAGAAACTCAAGTACAGTGAATGAACTCAACTCAGATGAGATCACTGCCTTTGGAATCATCTATGAGTCACCCTTATTTCAGAAACCACAGCCATGGAGGTGAAAAACTCTGGGCTTTTTCTCCCCAGTGAAATGTGCTGGCCCTGGCCCAACGGATGGAATTCATCACTCGTGTTCAAACTAGTTCTCTTCCTCCAAATGCTAGAAAGAGCCCATCTGGGTGAGCAAGGAGAAAGCTATCTGAAGCTCATCATTTAAACTTTAGCATTTTTCAATAATAAGTATGGAGACAGGTAGATAAATGCGAGGCAGTGTGCTGTAATGGGTAAAGAGCTGGCCCAGGAGTCAGAAGGACCTGGGGTCCAGTGCTGCCTCTGTCACATGCTGGCAGTGTGACACTGGGCAAATAATTGAACTTCTCTGTGCTGTAGGCAACTCTCTAAGACTATGAAGTTGCAAGAAGACTTGTCACCTACATTGGTAATAATCCAGTGAATTCTCTCTAGTAGTGAATCCTAAGGTCCAGTCCGTAATACTGTCCTACAGTAGATATAGACAGAGGTTCAATTTAATTCATCAGGCATTCCTTGAGTTCCTACTATGTGCTGGCGCTACACTAGAGATATAAAAACAAAGATGAAATAGTCCCCTGCCCTCAATAATAGAAAGCATTTGTGTAGCACTTTAAGATTTACAGGGAGCTTTTTAAACATTATCTCATATTATCCTTACAACAAGCCTTTCAGGTATGTGCTATTATTATCCCCATTTTGTAGGTAAGGAAACAGAGTCACAAAGAAGTTAGGTGTTTTGCCCAGGGTTACACAGCAGGTAAATAAGTGTCTGAGACTGAATTTGAACTCAGTACTTCTTAACTCAAGTCTAACACTCTATCCGCTATACCACCTAGTTGCCTCAAGAAGTTTATATTCAACAGTGGGTGGTGTGTGTGTCTGTGGATTGCTTTCTTTATGTGTTTATCTGTCTATCTATGCAGCTATCTAGCGGTTAGATGGTGCAGTGGATAGAGGGGTTCAAATCTGGTCTCAGACACTTACTAGCTGAGTGAACCTGGGCAAGTCACTTAACCCTGTTTGCCTTAGTTTCCTCATCTATAAAATGAACTGGAGAAGGGAATGGCCAACCACTCCAGTATCATTGCCAAGAAAACCCCAAATAGGGTCACAAAGAGTTGGACACACCTGAAAAATGACTGAACCACAACAATCTATAATCTCTCTCTCTCTCTCTCTCTTTCTGTGTCTACATACATACATATATACACATATGGGTCTATTTCTCATTTTATCTACCTATATTTATAGGTATCATTTTGTCCATCTAGATCTGTATCTATTATTTTAAAAACTAAAATTTAAGGGGCAGCACCGGCCCTGAAGTCAGGAGTACCTGAGTTCAAATCTGGCCTCAGACACATAACACTCACTAGCTGTGTGACTCTGGGCAAGTCACTTAACCCCAATTGCCTCACTAAAAAAAAAAAAACACCTAAAATTTAAAATGTGAACTTTGAGTAGCCTCCTTGCTCATATAGATAGGTACTTTCTAGTACCTATATAGTGGGAAGAGAGAAAGTGAGAGAGGAGACAGAAAAGAGAAGAGAGAGAGAGGGAGGGGGTCATTGTATTTTGTCATGGATAGAGAGCTGGATCTGGAGTTAGTAAGACCGGCTTCCTATCCTAACATAGACACTAACAGTGGGACCCTGAGCAAGTCACTTAGTTTCTCTGGGCCTCATTCTCCTCCTCTGTAAAATGAGGGAGATTGAGTTGATAGCCTTTAAGGTTCTTTCAGCTCTAACCCTATGAAACCTAGGTACGTTAGGCTACCTTATTCCCGAAGCCCATTGGTATGGAACTCTCTTTATCGATGGAGAAGAATTCTCTGTCCTGTGTGAGGAGTGGGATGGAATTGGTGAGAATGAGAGAGAGAGATGCCCTCCGGTCTTTGAATTTTCTTCAACCTTTAGGTGCTTTTGGCTTCTAGCTTTGAGAGCGGAGATAGAAGAGCCAAATCCCACTTCATGTTGCTAAAGGAAAAGACTGTGGGAAGAAGACAACATGAGAGGAGCTGGAGGTCTCCCTCATGTCTCCCTCCCCAGCTGGCAACTCTAGAGACTTCAGGGAACTTCCTCTTGGGTGAGATCTAGCACTTTCTCTCTTGATTGTGAAGAGTTTCCTTAATCTCAGTGGGAGAACTCCTTTAGTCCATATTGTAGGGTATGTATTCCCATATATATATACTTTATATATTTGTGTATACACACACACACACACACACACACACACACACACACACACTTCATATGTATACAGGCAGCTAGGTGGCAGAGTGGAAAGAGTGCTAAGCCTAGAATTAGGAAGACTCATCTTCCTGAGTTCAAATCTGGCTTCAGATACTTGCTAGCTGTGTGACCCTGGACAGGTCACTCAACCCTGTTTGCCTCAGTTTCTCATCTATAAAATGAGCTGGAGAAGGAAATGGCAAACCACTCTTAGTATCTTTGCCAAGAAAACCCCAGATGGGGTCACAAAGAGTTAGACATGACTGAAATGACCAGATGACAAGAAGAATACTTTCTAATTTTATGTTTTGTTACTGATGTGGATAAATGCGTTTCTTGGCTAAGTGCTGTGTGTCTTCATTATAGAACTGGTATTTGGGGGGGAAATGAGGCAAGCTTTGGATGTAAAAGTTGAAGTCCTCCTCCCCCTCCCCCCATAATGAAATAGTGATCAGAAGGTAAATTAATCCTGTTCATATCACCCTAGACTAATAATATTGAAGGCAGCAGATAGATGTAATTCTAGCCTGGTACCCCCTCTCTCTTAAGAGAACATAATGGTCTTTGGCCTCAACTTCCTGCTTTCCCTCCTGGAAGCAATTAAAGTCTGCCTTGGAGAAAGGTGGGGGAGAAGAGGCTAGAGAGGTCTACTCTGCCTCTCTTGGACACCCCCGTGCCATGTTGGGGATAGCCCTTGCTTTCTGTGGACTCTTACCACAGTTACAATATTCCATAGTTGCTTGATTTCATGAGTTTGAGGACTCACTTGCCTGGGGCAAATTTTTGTCCTTCCACACTCTCCTTAGTAAAAGGGACTTCATACATGGCTGTAGTCAAAAGGGCCCCCTCTCACCAGATGATGGTGCGCCTGCCTCTCTGCTGATCTTGTGTTGAAAGATGCACAGCCTGTGGAGGCTGAGCTCACACTCAAACCTTCCTAGCTTGGTAGGACATGCGAGAGTTGGTGCCCTCCCAACATAGCCTCAGAAAAGCCCAAGGTCCTGCCATGCCTTGGTGAGGGTTCAGAGGAGAGGGGAGGACTTTGAGTAACAGGGATAGTTTACTTTTACAGAACACCTGAAGGGGTGAAGATCTCTCTGTGTACAGGATCTCCTAGGATCCTCATAACAAGTCTGTGGGGTCGGTGCTAGTAGTACTATACGGGGGGAAAGAGCATGGTCTCTGGAGTCAGAGGCCTCTGGGGTCTGGTTCCAATCTTACCTCTCATGATTACTACTTGTGTGAATTCTTTATCTGTAAAATGAAGGCATTGGGCCTCATGGCCTCTTCCAACTCCTTTGTAACCCCTCCTTTGTAACAAAGAAGCAATTCAGCAAGAAGAATCAGTTCAGTGCTCACATTTCAGTCTTGTCTGACTCTTTGTGACCCCATTTGATACTGGAGTGGCTTGTCATTTCCTTCTCCAGCTCATTTTGCAGATGAAGAAACTGAGGCACACAGGGTTAAATGACTTGCCCAAAATCACAGTGCGAGTAAGTATCTGAAGCTGGATTTGAACTCAGTGAGATGAGTTTTCTTGACTCTAGGCCCAGGGCTCTATCCACTGTGCCACCTAGCTGAATTCATCTTAAAAAAAAAATCTTTCAGTTAACAAGCATTTATTTCTCTTATATATATAAAAACAAAATGAAGTTCTCACATTGGCCATGTCCAAAAACATGTCTCATTCTTCATTCTGAGGCCTTCACTTCTCTTTCAGAAGGTGGGTAATATTCTTCATCACTAGTCCTTTCGGATCATGGTTGGTCATTGTATGATTAGAATTATAAAGTGTTTTAAAGTTGTCTATTTTTACAGTGTTGTTATTGTCTAAATTATGCTCCTCATTTTGCTCATGTCACGGTTCATATAAGTCTTCCCAGCTTTCTCTAAAACTATTGCTTTCATAATTTCTTATTGATCGGCCATATTCTATTACTTTCATATACCACCATTTGTTCAATCTTTCTTCAGTTTTTTCTTCAACTGTATTTCTAGCTTTTTGCTTCTACAAAGAGTGCTGCTATTGATATCTTGGTATATATTGGGCTTTTCTGTTCTTTCCCTCCTTGGTCCATGTGGCCAGTATTATATCTATACAGTATGGAAAGAGCCAGAGGAAGACTTCTAATGCATTGGGTAGATCTTCCAAGGGATATCCAAGGGAGCACATTTGCACAGGGTGAGAAAGTGTGCCATGCTTGTGATGTGCACTTGTGGAGAGAGTGCTCGCATCACTGAAATTGTGGATCCTTTGAAGAACAAAGCATTATTATGATTGTTTCTGTCTGTTAGCCAAAATTACAGACATACGCTATGATTTACCTAACACTCTGGACAAAGTTTGACATTTCATTTTGATTGACCCAACTGAGCTCTAAGATTTGCTAATATTAATTCATCCCACATAGATAATTATCATTGTCTCTCAAATAATTTTTATTCATGTAGTGTAAGGAGATAAAATGTCACTTATTAGCTCCAACACCTTTTGGATGAGGTAGCTTTCAAGCTAATGATATGGTCACTAAGTTTTGAGTATTTCAGTAACATTTTGTTTAATTGACTGATATAGAGTTTTCCTTGTAAGGCAGCAAATCAGATCAGTTTTTAAAAGATTTTTTTTTTTACCAGCTGTGTGCTTTCTTCTACTTCATATGCCTAGGAGCTTCCCTCAGGGAGTAAGGTAGTGCAGAGATTCTCAAGGACAGGAGAAGTTGGGGTAAGAATTATGGGTGAGTGATAGCTTTTTATTTGTGTGTATGTATGTGTGTGTGTGTGTGTGTGTGTGTGTGTGTGTGAGAGAGAGAGAGAGAGAGAGAGAGAGAGAGAGAGAGAGAGAGAGAGAGAGAGACTTCTGGGGCTGCCACTTCTATCTGCGTCCCTGCCCTATAAATTTTATGGAAATTAATGAAGAGAGAGCATCAGGATTGGGACTGGGACTTTGACTGAAACTATTCCTGGTGCAAGTTCATCAAAGGATAGTCCACCTGTGGGTACAGTCATGATAGGGAGAGCTTGTCCCTTGTACCATCCTGTAGGGGTGCTGGCTCTCAATGCTTTAAGATAACAATGAGATAAAGTATAGAGATACTGGTCAGTACAAGGCTGGTAGGAGGAAACATATTTCCTGAGGAACACGTGTACTTGTGTGCTTCATAAGATAATATACACCCTGGCACAAAGCCTTATTCACCTGATGTTAGTTATAGTTCTAGACAGAGGTAGCCTGTCCAGTAGTTTCCATGGAGGGTCATGAAGGTAGTAACCATCTGAAGATTTTATCAACTGTTGGGAGATTCAGGAAGTTGGAAGAAAGGGCATAGCCAGCACCCACATAAGATGGGTAAATATACATAATATTATAATTATATAATTGTATATAATCTTATATAATATATAATACTATGCAATATATAATACTATGCAATATATAATACTATATAATATAATACTATATAATATTATTTTATAAGATATAAATTGAATACAAACCCTTTGTCTAACTCAGCCCATTGTCCCTCTCCCAGACCCAACTTTCATAGCTTGAAACCTTGTTTCCTGCCTGTAGTTATTTCCATCTCGTTGTCCCATTGGCCTAGTTCCCAATATTGGCTTATTTATCATTGCTCCCAACCTTTGTTTGCAGTGGACCTCTCCAGTGACCTCCCTTTCTTTTTCCAGAGAAAGAAGAGTTCATTGAGCACCAGGAGTCCTAGCTATCTTGGTGCAGCTGGAGACTGGATGAGCCCTGGTAGTCGAGATGTCGTAAAGGGGAGTAGGGAGAGCATTCTAGCCGGCTTAGGAGCCAGTCAGTGCAAAGGCATGGAGATGAGAGAGAGGTTGTCATGTGAGAGGGATAGCAAGGAGGCCAGTATAGCTAGATCGTAGAGTGTGTGGAGGAGAATAAGACGTAAAAAGATGGAGAAGATAGGAAGGGAGGCTATGAAGAGCTTTAAATGCCAAACAGAAGAATTCATCTTAGAAGTAATAGGGAGCCACTGAAGTTCATTGAAAGGCAGAGGGATGGGGAGGATGACATGGTCAAAATGTGCTTTAGGAAGATCACTTTGTCAGCTGAGTGGAAAACGGATTAGAATGGGGAAGAGAGTTGAGTAAAGGAGCCAAAGTTGGAAGGCTGTTGCAACAGACTGGGCAAAAAGAGAACAACCTGAACTTTGGATGTGGCTCTGTTAATGGGGAGAAGGGAGCAAATATGAAAGATGTTGTGGATGCAGAAATGACAAGATTTGATATGTGTGATGAGTGTGATTGAGGAGTCTAGGATGATGCTAAGATTATGAGATTGGGTGACTGGGAGGATGGTGATGCCTTTGATACTAAGCTTGCTATGGAAGTTTGGGAAAGTGCAAGGTAGAGGGGAGGGAAGATGATGTGTCCTTCTTTTAGACATTTTGAGTTTGAGATAACTATGGGACATCCAGGTAGTTGTTGATGTTGCAATGGAGCTAAGGGAGAGATTAGGGCTGGCTATATAGAACTGGAATTGAGCCCATTCATGCTAATGAGATCACTCAATAAAATGGTATAGAGGGAAAAGAGAAAGGGCCTAGGACACATGTGTGTATGGATTCTAGGATGGAGAGGTAAAGGAGTAAATTTCAGACTCAAGTTGAGCAAAACACTTGCTTCTCCATTCTGGGCCTCAATTTCCTCATTTGTAAAATGAGAAAGTGGGACCTTGTGGTCTCTGAGGTTTCTTCTAGCTATAAATCCTGTGATTCTAAGAACCATCAACTCACCTATAACAAACTTGGCTTATGCTAGTGTTTTGCCCAGGGCTCTCTATGAACAAGAGCGATGATTATTATTATGTCAGACCTTTTCTTGGGTAAGCACTTCTAGTCATGACAAGCTTTGGCATCTTGTCCAAATACTGTAGAAGTAAGTGTCTGTCTAGTCCTACAACCAGATTCTGACTCATTAATTTCTCACCCATCCCCTTCCTATAAGGATTCCTGTATAACATTTCCTTTACTATTACAACCTATTAGTTATTCTTCCTCCACTTCCCCCAAAGACCTGTCACATTCTATAGATTCAAGGGATCTCCCTCCTCAGAATGCCTATACCACTTTCTTTGTATGGGGCTTCCATTAAAAAAAAAAAGACATTTCTTAAGGGCCCACTACGTGGAAGTCTCTGTGATAAGTCTAGGAGTTGAGAAGAGCTCAAGGCATTAATTTTTAGTTTGGGTGGAGATTGCACAACATTATGGCCTTCTCAAGGTCATCCAGGTTGCAGAATGGGAATTCTCTTTACCACACCACAACTTTTTTGTGTACCTGACTCATTTCTCCTAATAAACCACAATCTCTCTCAGGTTAGGGGATGACATCTTCTTCTTTGCATCCTTAACAGTATTTCCCAGCAGCAAGACTTGCGTGAACTGGCAATTAGTAAATGGTGATGAACTGAATTTTAAGCGTTCAATCATCTAGTTGTTAACAAACATGTATAAAACAAAGGCAGAGGAATACTGGTGATCTTAAGTCCCAGCACTGATATTCTTTGGTGTCCATGTAGTGGAAAGAAAAATAGATTTGGAATTAGGAGACTTGCATTCTCTTTTGTGTGCTATAGAAGAAAGCACATTAGATTTAGAGTCAAAAGATTTGAGTTCAAGTGCTGGCTCTGCTGCTACTTAATTGTGATTAAGTTGCCCTAAGTTTTCTTTGAGTCTCAATTTCTTCATCAGCAAAATGGAGGAGTTGGATTCTATCAGGAATTTTTTTGTATTATGGAACCTTTTGGCGTGCTGGTGAAAACCTGTGGACACTTTCTCAGAATAATGTTTTTGAATACTCAAAATAAAATATAAAGGGTTACAAAAGAAACCAATTATATTGAAAGAGTCATCAAAATATTTAAAGTAATGGCTAGCATTTGTATTGTACCTTCTGTGTGCCAGAGATATTGTATTAGGTGCTTTACAAATAATCTCATTTGATCCTCACAACAACCTTGGGAGGTAGGTACTATTATTATTATTATTATCATCATTATTATTATTCCCATTTTGCAATTGAGGAAACTGAGGCAAATAGAGGTTAAGTGACTTTACCAAGGTCACATAGCTAGTAAGGCTAAATTTGAACTCAGGTCTTCCTGGCTCCAGGTCTAGCATTCTACTCACTGCAGCACAAAACAAACCAGGTTAAGACTTACTCTTGGCTACAGTCTTTTCCAGCTCTAAATTCTATTATATAAAGTAGAAGAATTACTACTTTATATCTACATGGTCTTTCAGTAGAGGGAGTTTTCCGCTTTTGTCTTTATTTCCCTGGTACCCAGCAAACTGACTTACACATAGTCAGTGCTTAATTATTGTTTGCTTAATAAGCATGCTGGCTTTTCATTGGAGAGCCATTGCAGCCAGTCTATCAATGAGCATTTAATGGGTAAGTCCTATGTGTCAGGTACTGTGTTTGGTGAGAAAATACAAGTGAAATTGAAGTCATGGTTCCTTGCTCTCAAGAAGCTTATAGGCAGATTATTGGTATAGAACTGATATAAATGAACACAAAAAGTCACCAAACTAATAAAAAAACCTAGTGGGTTAGCCTGATGAATTAGCTGATCAATGTAGAAGTTTGAATTATAAGGTGCTAGAAATGAGTACAAAAATAATTACTAGATTAAGGGAGTTATCTTTTAACCTAGTTACTAATTAGTAAGATAGTTACCAACAGATCACTATAGTAATCATTTATGCTTACTTGACTAGAGATATTTATCAAAGGGCACAGAAGATTGGTTAGGTGGCAATCAGTAGCATTGTGGTCTATTCCCACTAAAAGTGGCAGCCCTATTGGCACAGCCAACACCAAGCTATCTTCCTGTGCCCTGGGTATATGGAGTAGGATGTGCTAATCAAAGGTGTATGGCAACAGTCAGGACACAGTGGCTGGAAAATCAGAATGCTGTTTTCTCAAAGTATGGACATAGCCACTTTCCACCATAGTATTACATTTTGTTATCTTCCCAGGATGGCCTTATAAGGATATGCTTAGGAGAGTCAGGGATTCATGGAAATGAATTCTTGAGAAACAGAAACAAAAAGGAGTGAAGGGACTAGAATATCTTGAGGGAGATAGAAGCATAGAATGAGGGGTATATATATCTTTCATTACTGGTAATTATGGAAGCTGGCCTCTGGACCTGGGCTATTCCTCCTCACCACTGATTTAGGATTGTGACCTTAGACAAATTATTCCATTTTTCTGGGCCTGATTTTCCTCAAGATTTCCTCATATGAGCTTTGGGACCATGGACTAACCTCTATATGCCTCAGTTTCATCATCTGTAAAATGGGGATAATAATAACTTACCTTCCAGAGTTATTGTAAGGATTGAGTGAGATAATATTTGTTAAGTTCTTCACAAACCTTAAAGCACTATATAAATGCTAGTTGCTATTATTATTATCATCTGTAAAGTGATGTTGATAATAATATTCCTCTTGCCTAACCTCTCAGGGTGGCAAGGTTCAAATGAGATAATGTATATAAAATACTTTGTAAACCTAAAAACACATTATGAATAGTAGCTCTTATTAAGTGTATAAAATATTTTGTAACCATAAAGCATTATATAAATACCAGTAATTTAAAAAAATAAATAGAACCTATATATATGCATATATAAAAATCATATGTATAGAAGCATATATACATACATATACATACACACACACGTATGTATATATTGATAAGTGCTGTAGGCTGTCCCTACATCAGCATATTATAATCTGGAAAATAGGTATTCTTCCTCTAGTTAGATTTTCCTGTCTTGATAGTTGGACCAGACTCTTTTGAGTAATTATGGGTGTCATTTAGGATAGAGAGTGAGTTGGGCCCAGGACTGAGCAGCATAAGGAGAGCAGACTGAATTGCCTTTGGGAAATGGCAAAGTTCCTTTAATAGAAGGCCTGCCTTTTTGAACACCAAATACTTTTCCTAGGATGTTGTAGGGCTTTCATCTTAGAACACATTGGTTTCTGAAGACTGACGTTGAGGCTTATCCAAAGAGCAGTGGAGTGGCCCATGGTTGGTGTGAGCAGACAGCTATCCATTACCAACAAGGAATCATGAAGGAGAAATGGGGTGAAGGATGTCATCACAGAAATATATGACTAAAAAAGAAGATGGGCCTGCCATATAGCAAGAATGAGGAATGATAATGGATACCCCTTATATTCCATTGGTATCCTTTTTCTGTCAAGAGAACATAAAGGTGGATCCTTGTGGCAAACACGGAAGGACAAGATGGACAGGTATGGATGGGTTGTAATCTGCATTGTTGGATGGAATCTCCACCTAAATAATATCACAAATCCTAAACGATACCCATAATCAATCAAGAGAATTTGAGCTATCCACACAAGAAAAATTAAGTGGATGAAGAGTGCCTTATTGTTCAAACTATGACGTGCAGTTGGATGAATAACCAATTTATCCATCAGTGCATATATCTTAATTATGTTTATTATTATCTGAAACATAACTTGTATTTATATAAAGTTTATAATAATAGCTAGCATTCATGTTATACCTTAAGGTTTACAAAGTACTTTACAAATATTTTCTCATTTATCCTTACAACTCTGAGAAGTAGGTGCTATTATTATCATCCCCATTTTACAGATGGGGTAGCTGAGGCAGATAGAAGTTAAGTGATTTGACCAGAGTCACACAGCTACTAAGTG